GAAGTCATTTACTAAATTAATAAAGATTGGTGGAGGAGGTTTACTCTCTGAGTGTTCTAGAATGTCTCTATTAGGGTCGTTTTCTTAGGGTTCGTTTGTTTTCAGAATAGTCATTGTTTTGATCATTGTTTGGTGGACTGAATAGAGAAAAGCGATTTGGCGTTACGAATTGTTTAGTTAATTTCGGGGATTGATTAGGTGAGTACTGACGTTTATGATTATTTTGAGTTTTCCAATCGTCGTTGGAGTTGGTTTCTGATGAAAAAGCTGATGAATCATTTGACACGCTCTGTATGCGTGACTTTTGGATAATGAGTGGAGATACAGTTTTATTATTTGTATTATTAGGCATTTTATAGGTAACGGCACTGATTAGGACCGTAGTGAGGTATCGCGTGTTGGTCAATAAAGCGTATATTGCGATAAGGCGTTAGTCCCGATCGCGGCGAGTCTTATATTTAGGTAAATTATACAATTATACATTACCCGACGGTACAAATACCGCGACGAGCGCTGGAAGCGATAACAATTCGATACAATACACACGCTATCGAGAGCTGATAAAAGCGGAGCGCGTGACAATTAACGTGTGGACTGTACGACGTCTAAACACGAACATTGTTTTATTTTTAGCTTCGATGCGAAACTGAGAAGCTATTGGTTTTACTATGATGTGTTTTTTTTTGTCTGTTACCACTTTTTCTCAAATCTCACCGAACGGATTTCTTTCAACGATACGTCAAAATATCACAAATCGCATCTAGTCGAAGACATTACCCTCAAAAATTGAAAAAATTTCCCTTAATTCCCGTAAATGGGGAAAACCTCCAAAAAAATTACAAATTTAAAAATTGCTAATTTTCGACATTTTTTCAATTTTTTTTACTATAAACTGCCATAACTTTTTAAAAATGAACATATCAATGTAACTTTATTTTTCATAGATGCTTGGTATCTTTACCTATCATTTGGTATATTTTTTTCATAAATCTAACCCTTTACCAGCCCACAGGAAGGGTTTCAAAATGGTATCTTTTTTACAAAAAATTAACTATTTCAACTTAACTTTTGAAAATGTTCCGGAAGGTCTGACACTTTTATATATATCTTAAATTAAAGCTAACGTAATGTACTTTATTATGGAAAAAAAAATTTCTGACTTTTGTGTGAAAATTCTCAATTTTATTTTTTACATTTTTAACTATATAGTGCTTTAACTTATTGAAAAGTGTATGTTATATAAATACATTTTTTTACGAGAAATAATATTTATATCCCTTTATCATTCGACATACTTTTTTGAAATCAGGATATTAATAAGGAAATAGCAAATCATGTAGCTTTTTTTTATTTTGTTATATTAACTGGCTTAAATAAAAAGTAAACAAGACTTTTTGGCCAACGACANAAATTTTCAACACTATCTAAAGATTTGCATGGAAATTTCAGATATTTGATCCAACTATACCACGTCACCACTTTGCCGCGACCCCCCTGTGCTGGGATTTTTTATAACTCTTTCTCTCTAATCATTTATTTAACAAATTTAATAATTATTAGCCAATCATTAAAAATATTTTGTTATATTAATTGGCTTAAATAAAAAGTAAACAAGACTTTTTGGCCAACGACAAAATAATGTTACTAAATCAAATTTTTTCATTTTGTATAACTGGAAAAAATATAAATTAATTATTGGCTGAAAGCAATCTATTATGGTGATCGTAAAATAACATATTTATTTTTGAAATAATAAAATTTGTTTAGCAACGTTATTTGTTGTTGGCCAAAAAAAACGGAAAAAAATTAGTATAAAAGAGCTAGTAAACTGAAAATGCATTGGGACTTTTAGTCTAACCAGCGAACGAAGAACATACAAGCTCTTGTGGAAGCCAAACTAGTCTATTAGTCTCAGTCGAGTCGAAATCAAAATTCAAAAATCTTGAAATCAACGCGTCATTTGCAAGTCTATTTCCGAAAACACCCATCAAATTCAGTTGCGATAATATTGAGCATAATTATGGGGCCGTTAGAGATAGGAGATCAAATTGTCATAAGGTATTATGACTACATGCAAAATTTAACAGTTACCAAAGTAAATGACAAGAATCGTGAACAGCCCGAAGAGTATCGCGTTAAACTTCAAGGAATAAATGGAGAATTTTTCGACAAGTCCTCGATGAATATCCTTACCAATGTTATCAAAAAGAAAGAAGTATTTAACATCGTAAGTGAAAAATATGTGTACATAGCATTGTTATTTATACTTATATTTTTTAAGGCGTGTATTGACAAAAATGAACTCGTATTGATATATTCAACATCTAAAAAAAGTCTAAACACTCAGATTTGGAATGCTGAAATTTTGAAACCCAAAGACGTCGGCAATAGATATGAAAAGAATTATACATGGAAGAATGCGTATAAACCTGGACTTAAGCCGAACAATGACGCCGAACGTTATCCAGTGAGCAATGTAAAGCCGTATACGGCCCAGGATAGACTTATNATTAAGTCGTATACGGCCCAGGATAGACTTATGAAATAAATTAGTAAATATGAGTGTACAGAATTCATATTTTATACCATTTGTAATGAATAAAAATATACAAAATAACCCCTTTTTATATTAAGTATTGTATCATTTTTGTCAATTACAATAGTAACTAAAAATGAACAGCATATAAGAAAAAACCCAGCACAGGGGGGTCGCGGCACAGTGGTGACGTGGCATAGTTGGATCAAGTATTATGATATCTGACAGTGATTAAAATCACTATCATAAGAAACGCTTCGATGCAAATCTGTAGATAGTGTTTCATTTAGAGAAATTGGTGGATTATTCCAAAAGCAACATCAACTATTATTTCTTTAATTATATTCTGATTAGTAGTACTTTGATTTTAAAATATAATATATGAATAAAAACTAATTATAATTTTCAAATTCAGTATGAAATTGTGAGGCCAGCTATGATGTATGGTTCATAGTGTTGGGCGGTTGATAAGAAAGTAGAGCAGAGAATAAGTGTAGCAGAGATGAGAATGCTTAGTTGGATGAGTGGAGTGACTAGAGAAGATAGGATAAGGAACGAGCATATAAGAGGAAGTATGGTTAATCAATCGTGGATAAGATGACAGAAAATAGACTTAGATTGTTTAGTCATGGTATGAGGANTCGTTTATTCTAGGTAAATGCAGTATGTACAGTTCAAATATTATCGAGCGCAAAATTTTTTTTTTTCATAGTATAGCTAATGACTTGCTCTACAAGCCACATGTATGGATTAACGTGTAATTTTGCGTAATTTTTAGTTAATCTCTTTAAACGAGCAAACTAGAGAAAAAAACGAAATATTTCGATTTTTTTTTAGTATAAATATGTTTAATTCCACAAAAATAAAAAAAAATCTTTTTTTCTTTTTCATTTGAAAAAGGATATCTTTTTTAATAGGAATAAAAAAATTTTTTAATTTTAAATTATGTTTTAAGGCATAAAAAAAAATGTACAAAAATAATCTCAAAATAACTGAAAATACGGAAAAATTTTAGAAGTATAACATTAAAATAGCTCTACATCTTCACTAAATCAACTTATGCCCTTGAAAATTTGTATTAAAACCCTTAAGTATGATATTAATGTGTTTTGCTAAAAAAAAAAAATTTAAGTGACTTTTAAAAAATGATACTTTTGGCCGCCTAAATCGGCGTTTCATTCCACTGTGCGGCAGTGTGAACGCAGCGTATACAGATGGCTTGTATACGGCGCGTTAAATATACCACGCAACGGAGGAGATAGACGCGTTAAGGCAAAGTTTATGTGATTTATCTCTTAACACACGTATGGATGCGCCCATGTCCGAAGTAGAGAGAGCACTGTCTCGCATTATGCAGGAGATCCGGTCTTCTCATAAGCCGCGACACGAACAACGTATGGTCTATACGAAATCCGTTCACTACCGCCCAGAGGACAAATAGTAGAGTAGAAACAAATCGTATGATTACGCGCACTTGTCGGAACACCAAACCGCACAACGTTCGGGCGGAGCAGCAAGACCCAAAACGACGCGGCATTACAACAACGTTTGACGGAGATCGAAGAGCGCGTAACCTTCAACGATTAGCCGCCGTCCAGACCCGTGTGCGTCACCATCACTACCTCGAGCGAGCACACACAAAGCAGTCTTTCTTTTAGACGTACGCCCACAACACACGGGACATTTCGGGCCGAACACATTCGCGTCACCGTCTTCATCAACCCGCTCACATACACATATGGCGACTGTACCGTAAAATAATCCGCCTGTTATACGACCTCCGTCTCCCGAATTCACGGGAAAATATGAGGAGGATCCGAGGGAGTTTCTGGAGCAGCTAGAAAATCTCCTGACTCAATCCGGTATTCATTACGATTTGTGGGTGAAAACCCACAAAATTGACCTTTAGATATTACTTAAAACGATTCCGGTCAGTTACCAAGATTGTTGGACCACGGAGGCACGAGCAAAGGACATTATAACAGAATCGGGGCTAAAAATAAATATTTAGTAAAATATTTTTTCTACTTTGCTGATATCAATATATTTGGCTACCTTCACACAAAATTATATTATATTAATATAGTCATTGATGACAAGTCGTGTGTTATGTGTTATGAGTGTAGTATTCAGAATTTGTTTTTTAGTTGCACTTTTTTCCTTACATTTAAATTTATTATTTTACAATAGACAAGAATAATTATAAAAATATAAGTGATATAGTATTTTATTTAGTATATTATATTGTATTCTTAGGATTAGGCCCGAGGCAGGTGTTGACGCTATGTGATTTCTACCCAGTGCTCTGAATGTAACGTGAAGAAATTCAAACAAGCAGAAATGATATATGGTTTGATGTACATAAAATTTTTCATGAAAAGTATCTTAAATTTCTACTCATTTTATATATGATTGCCCTAAAGTGCTAATGACAGAACGCCAATGTTCTAACTAAAATCAGTTTTTTGTTTTAATAAATGAAAAGGAATAGTGTAAAAAATTAAAAATGTCAATTAAATGAGTTTTTGTAAATTCAAAAATAAATATTTACAATAAAATTAATTATTATATAATAATTTTAAAAAGTATTAATTAAAAAAATATTTGATATCAGTCTACTTTAGTAAGGACATCAGTAGTTCTATAAAGTCTGAGCTGGGACCCCCCCAAAACGGCCCCGGCCGTTTCCTCTCCCTAGGTTGACGCCCTGTGTAAACAGCCGAGGAGATATGGTGAAAGGCATAGTACCCCCACCCACATGATGTAGGTTTACCCAGTCCAAGGTGGACGGGCGGTGTAAACGGTCGGGGGGATATGATGAACGACATAGTCCCCTCACCCACCCACATGATGTAGGTTTACCCAGTCATAGGTGGACAGGCGGTGTAAACGGCCGGGGGGATATGATGAACGGCATAGTCACCTCACCCAAATATATGATGTGTGTTTACCCTGTCATAGGTTGACGGGCGGTGTAAACGGCCGGGGGGATATGGTGAAAGGTCGATGTTTCTCGTTCCTAGATATCATTTCGTTATATCATGGTACAAGTTACCTTGGTATATGCATAGTATACCTAGGTAGATGGAACAACATATAGTATATCTTGATATATTACAGAAAATTAGAGGTATTTTAAAAATTTCATAATTTTAGAATTATATGAAAATATTTGAATGCAAAAAAGTGAAAGGTGTAATCAAGCGGCGACGGCGGCTATTAATCCCACGAAACNTCAAGCGGCGACGGCGGCTGTTAATCCCACGAAATCCCACTATGACGTGTATTGTTCATAGAGAGTTCCTTGACTAACGTATGTATTAAAACAGTAAATCAGCGGTTTACCCCTACATAGAAGGAGAGGCGATGATAAAACTCATCATTTTTTAATTAAAGAGAAAATATTTATACTTTTGAAATAATATTTTATCAAATTCTTTTTTGATTATTCAGTAACACTACCGCGTTTGTTAATAGACATTAATGTGTAATCGTTTTTGTATAAAACATGTATACACATAATCTATTACATATATTTGTATACAAATATTTAGAAATCGAGAGTGTAAAATTAATTATTATGATATTAAAGTGAAATTACTTAAGTGGTGAAGGAATGGGTTAGTTTACGGGGATATGTGATCTATGATTTGTTGACCCCCCTATGAAAATATGTGATTTTTCCGCATAAATGAGCATGAAATCGTTGATAAAGTCACAGTGTCATCAAAAACCATCAGCTCTAAAAAGAATACTCTACTCTATGAATAATATGGCTGTCGAACCTGTAAGAAAACAGCGCTACATTTATATCACACCAACACCGCCAGCCGAGATGATTGACTCTAGCAGTTACACTATTGCATTCAGCGACAGAAAATTTTTGCAAGTGGGCCTGAATCCAAAGGATGACTTCAATGTTACGGTATGCATTATTACTCCTTCACGATATATTAGTATGTCAGCAGATTGTTTAAATATTATTTACGGCATGAGGGATGAAATAACATTATTTCTACAATCACCTCCGGTAAAAGGAGAGAACATTATGTTATACCAAAATGTCGATTTTAATATAACCAAAGTATTGTACCGTGATACCATGCATTTAGTATTAGAATCCAGAATAGTGGATGGGTGTCGAGTGTTATTGAATAACGGAAACATTAATAGACTTATGGACTAACAGTGTACTATTAACAGTGCAATATCAAGAAAAATAAAAACATGTTTACTATTAAGCCGTCAAATAGACCGAATTATACAATACGCCGACGGTAGATGGTCGGTCTCTAAAATTCAACAATCAAACAATGATGAAATGATTAATTTTTTTTTTTATATAGTATATTTATTTCATAATAATAATAATAATTACAAGGTGAATAATAAATGTTTACATGTTTATGTAAAAAATGTTAAAATANAGTGACAGTAATTACATAAGCGAGCTGAAGAATTTAGCGTACAATGTAATAGTTGATCGTTGGGTCGTCATGGTCCGAGGGTACGCTTCAAATTAATGTGAGTATAATGAACATAGATTTTCATAACCTTTATTGTTATTAAATATATAATTATGTTTTAGGAAAAAGAAGAAGAAATGTGCGATGAAAATGATGGACCAACATTTTTCAATACAACAGTGTATACCCGAGAAAATAGTTATAGTCCATGGACTTCACAATGGCAGAAACCCAATCATAACAGAAAATTAACTTACATTAATAATTTATAAACAATAACTTTATATATTGTACTAGTTTCTTATAATAAACTTATAATCTAAAATNATGGTCGGTCTCTAAAATTCAACAATCAAACAATGATGAAATGATTAATTTTTTTTTTTATATAGTATATTTATTTCATAATAATAATAATAATTACAAGGTTAATAATAAATGTTTACATGTTTATGTAAAAAATGTTAAAATATACGGACAGTTCCGTCAAAAGGTGTATAAGTAAATACATTGTATGAAATTATTAGAGCATATACAGCCGTATTAGCGGGGAACGTGGTTGATGCTTCAATCTCAATACGTAAGTCAAAAGACGGGAATGTAATTGTACCGTTCTGCTTTGAAATATCAATCACTGCAACAGAATTATTATAATGATATTAAAAAATAATATTAACTATTATTAAAATAAAGACGTCTATACATGTATCGGTTAAATAATAAGGCATTTGTATGGAGGATTTGTCCGCACATACTTGTACAGTATTCATTATCACGTGTAAAAATGTTAAATTTCAGGATGTAAAATTGAAATATGTATATGAAAAAAAAAAAAAAACTATGTTTAAAGATCTATACCTGTTCCCGTACATCATCATGTCACATGCATAACACTAGAAACAATTGCTAATTATGATAGCATTAAAGTATTATTAATATTATATACAAATTATGAAAAATAATTAACTTAAAATAATACAAACTTATTAATATTTACAAATTATATATACCACTCTGAATACTCATCTACAGTCTCGCCATCCGAATTAAAATTAACGATAGGCATTGTACATTCATCTTGTTTATGTGATACAATTAAGTTGTACACACAAACAAGATCTATCGCACGACGATGTTTAAATTCTCTCCTCAACTTCTGACTGTTACCTGTAAATAAGCTCAATCTTTCCGTGCAATTAAAATAATCTAAGTAAACATAATTTTCAACCTTTATAAAAAAAATTAGTCTAGTCCAATAACTTTTAGTTTTAATTTTATTATTATTAAAAGTATTACTAATAAATTTTCTACCGTTAAGCCAACGTTGATGCCCATAATCAGATTTCGTGATAAATAATCTTTCATACAATTCACGCAAATAAATCTCCAGATCGACCGATGAGCGTTCAATTAATTCATTAATAATCACATCATATTTTTCATATTCAGCATTATTAACGAAATAACTGATCACTACATCGGCCCAAATGTCGATATATCGGCGTGTATGGTAGGCATCTCTTAATAATACCCTATGTTGATAACATTTATTGGTTTCACAATTACAATATTTAAAATTGTAATCTCCTATTTTTACATTTAAAATATATGTTAACGATTTATATTGATTACTATTACCAATTTATTTTACTCACTTGTGACATTGAAATCCTTAATACATTTCTCGTACAAATTTTTTATCGTACTCATTTTTTTTTTTTTTTTTTTGTTTGTGATTAAATATACAGTTTAATTGATTGAATGTCAGTTTACATGCGTACTTGTTCAGCATAAAGTGTTACAAGTAAACAAATGATTCATATCGAGGTGGTGAGATATGGTATTTATATTAAAAACTGTACTTAATGATCTATACCTGTGCATAGCCAATACTTCACCCTCTCACATGTTTAATGTTATTTTACAATAATCTATGACCCGTTCAGTAATTATACAGGGTGTTCAGTAAGTCAGGAAACGGGTTTCTATTCTTCTCATTGTTACAAACAATGACTTACTGAACACTCTGTATATGAATTTTTAGGTAAATAAACAACAAACGCATCACAGCATAATTAATATCTTCTAGGCATCACGTCGAAGTCAAATATTTTTGAAAAAAACTCAATTACATTATTATTAGTAACAGGTAGTATAACAATATTTTCTTAATAGTCACATTACTTGACAATTATTAATATACCAATTTCTTAACAAAATCACTTTATAATAATGTAAATATCAATATTTGATTTTCTTTAATAAAAATACCTAGTCTTATATTACAAGGCATATAATAATATGTAGATCTAAATCCCATTATGTATGTATGAGTCGAGTTAAGCTCAGTTAAACCTATGTTTTATATTCATAATCATAATCTTACTATGAATCTATATTGGCTAATATGAATCGTCAAATTAAAACCAGTTTCAATGCTAATGCTAACATTCATCTTGTTTACGTGATACAATTAAGTTGTACATGCAAACAAGATCTATCATACGACGATTTTTAAATCCACTCCTCAACTTTTGACTGCTACCTATAAATAAGCTAAGTAAACATAATTTTCAACCTTTATAAAAAAAAAAAAAAATTAGTCTAGTCCAATAACTTTTAGTTTTTAATTTTATTATCAAAAGTATTACTAATAATTTTATTACCTTCAAGCCAACGTTTATGCCCATAATCAGACTTTACGGTGAATAGCTTTTAATACAATTTTCGTAAATAAATCTCCAGATCGACCGATATACGTTCAATTAAATCGTTAGTAATTGCATCATATTTTTCATACTCTGCATTATTAACGAAATATTTGACCACTACATAGGCCCAAATGTTGATATATTGTCCGGTATAGTATTCATCTCTTAATAATGCCCTATGTTGATAACATTTATTGGTTTCACAATTACAATATTTAAAATTGTAATCTTCTATTTTTACATATAAAATATATGTTAACGATAAATGAAGAATACTATTATCAATTTATTGTGCTCACTCGTGGCACTGTAATCCTTAATACATTTCTCGTACAAATTTTCGATCGTATTCATTTTTTTTTTTTTTTTTTTTTTTGATTGAATACGCTGGTTAGTTGAATAAATGATAGTTTGTATGCGTACTTGTTCAGCATAGAGCGTTACAAATAAAAAAAAAAATCATACATTTCGAGGTGTTGAGATATAGGTATATATATATAGGTATATAGATAGGGTATTTATATTAAAAACTATACTTAATGATCTATACATGTTCATAGCTAATACTTTACCCTCTCACATGTATAACGTTATATATACAATGATCCATGTCACATTCATTATTCAGTAATTATATATGAATTTTTAGGCAAATAAGCAACAAACACATCATAGTAAAATTAATACTTTCTATGAGTCCCGTCAAAGTTAAACATTTTTTAAAACTTGATTACATTATTAATAGTAACAGGTAGTATAACAATATTTTCTTAATAGTCACATTATTTAAGAATTATTAATATAGCAATTTTCTTAACATAAACACTTTATAAAAATGTAAATTCCCATATATGATTTTCATGTATGAAAATACTTTTTCTTATATTACAAGGCATATGCAATAGTACCATCAGAAAAAAAAAAGAAACTAGAGATCTCAACTTCTCTAAGTGAATAATTATACGTATAAACAGGTGATTATAGACATATTAATGTGAAAATACTCAAGTGGTATAGGAAAGTGCATATTATTTGGAAATATATGTCCCTGTGATAATTTATTTAGTTCTTATATGTAACGTAGTACGTAATCCATATATATATCATCATATATTATCAGTCTATCTCTATCGATCACGATCGGGTTAGATCAATTCGATCAACAAAGATAAATATACTAAAGCATCTATTTGCATGTATAGTATATGTATTACACATGAAACATTTAAGTATATTATACTTATGACGTACCATAAGTACCTACGATAACATCACCTAGCTGTACAAAGTGAATAGAGTAGACTTATTAGCGATTGTCTTACTATATGTATGACTATATACATTATCGAGTATGAACAGTATATACCTTATAATATGTGTCCAAAACATTATTTACTGATAATAGTTAATAATTGTCGTTCATCATATCCCCCCGACCGTTTACACCGCCCGTCCACCTAGGACTGGGTAAACCTACATCATGTGGGTGGGGGTACTATGCCTTTCACCATATCTCCTCGGCTGTTTACACAGGCCGTCAACCTAGGGAGAGGAAACGGCCGGGGCCGTTTTGGGGGGGTCCCAGCTCAGACTTTATAGAACTACTGACTTCTATAAATTATTACTACTAATTTAAATTTTGGCCATGTTTAAATAACCAAATTATATTGTATATTTTTATTAGTAGACTGCATAAAAGGTAAATTAAATAACCATACGCTGGATAGAAAATTTAACTATAAAATAAACTATTTTATTTCAGTACTTACAATTAAAAATATTTTAATAATTTTAACAGTTATTAAAATGCATAAAATAAATAATTTTCGAATTATTGTTCTAAGACAATCAAATAAAATTAAATATATGAAATACTAAGTTTAGTTAAACAACTTTTTATATATTAACACAAGATTATAAGGCTACTAGATAAACAAAACGAACAATAAGTTGACAGTTACACTTAATGGCAATTAATAAAAGCGCATAAAATATATATGTATATTTATACGAAAAATTGTGGGTATTTCAAAAATGATTAATAACTTAATTTGTAGCAAACTTAGCATACTTGAGAAAATCGTAAAATATTTAATTCTTTATTACCATTATTTTCTGAGCTATAAACTAATATATTAAAAACGATTGAATCGTTTTTGGAAATTTGGAAATCAGTTTTTAAATTGTGATGAGTTTTGTTTATGTTTTTATTTTTATCAATCGGAAAATTATTTTTTTTTATCAAATTGCAATTTCTCAAGATTCAATAAATAATAAAAGTATAATTTTTCACTAATTAATTTAAAATATTTGCAATTTATTTTAAAAGTGGGTGGTATTTTCCACATGTCAGGATATATTACCACGCAGTACGTATTTTTCAACAATTCTATACAAATAATTAATTATTGAACTGAGATATTAATTGTTGGATAATCGACATATTTTAAATAGACTTGTTTATGTACGTGTAATCTACATTACATGTACACATAATAGAGTTGGCAAAGGTAGCGCCGGTCGCGGGTCTCCGTGTAATACACAGCGATGCGTTATTATGTCATCACTAATTCGAATAAGACTTGAAATTTCAGATACTTTTTATTCATCATGTTTTTCTTTAGATATTTCAATAAAAAAAAAAAAATCATATGTTTAATTACACCCAAGTTAAAACTAAATGTCGTAAAACAACTTTATATTTATCTTACAAAAAAGATACATATGTGATTTAAAACAAATATATCTGTTCATTTTAATTATTTTTGGAAAATTTGTCATTGTTTGGTTAATATATTTTAAAGTACTTCCAAAAAAATTTGCAAACATTTAAATTTTTGAAATCCAATGGTATCATTTTGCCCCAAGCGTCAACTCTTCTCATATTGGGATTTTCAATGTGAATTTATAAGATCATTTATGTCTATATAAAACTACATACAAATTAAGTATATTCTTGATAAGTTAGCTATAAATGGTTGCATTTTAATCTTTGTAACTAACGAGATGTTTCAACGAAAAATTTTCTTATTACTTAGTAACTAAAATAAAAGTATAATATAAATTTTTGAGGACCGGTATAATTTTAACAGATTTTTTTTTTCAATCAGCTAAAATTCGGCTGAAGGTCGAATACTTAAATGGTGATATTTTGTGGATTAATTGAAATTTGAGTGATACAGTTTTATTATAATCGGTTTTTTTTATGTCTGTTACCACTTTTTCTCAGTTCTCACCGAACGGATTTTTTTCAACGATACGTCAAAAGATCACAAATCGTATCTAGTCGAAGACATTACCCTACAAAATTGAAAAAATTTCCCTCGTTCCCCGTAAATGGGGGGAACCTCCAAAAAAATTACAAATTTAAAAATCGCTAATTTTCGAAATTTTTTCAATTTTTTTTACTAAAAACTGCCGTAACTTTTTCAAAAATGAACATATGAATATAATTTTTTTTTTTTTATAGATGCTTGATGGTTTAATCTATCATTTGGTATATATTTTTTGTAAATCTGACAATTAACCTGCCCACAGGGGAGGATTTAAAAGGACAACTTTTTCACAAAAAATTAACTTTTTCAACTCATCTTTTGAAAATGTTCCGAAAAATCTGACACTTTTATATATATCTTAAATTAAAGCTAATGTAATATACTTTATCATGGAATAATTTTGACCTTTGGACTTGTCTTTATGGTGAAAATGGCTAGCGAATGCTATTTTTGTGTGAAAATTCTCGATTTTATTTTTTACATTTTTAACTGTGTAATGATATAACTTATTGAAAAGTGTTTGGAATAAAACACCAATTTGTTTAAAATTAAACACTATCTAAAGATTTGCATCGAAGCGTTTTTTATTGATAGTGATTTTAATCACTGTCAGATATCATTATACTTGATCCAACTATGCCACGTCACCACTATGCCACGACCCCCCTGTGTTGGGTTTTTTTAAATTAGTTCAATGGAATAGAGCAATATTATAATGCAATTAGAGAAGAAATTTTATATAACTCTTGTAGGCATATTACTGTCTTAATTAGTAATTTAATGAATAAAAAAATATGGACTCTGAATAGAAAAAATAATTTAATTAAATCGCTAATATTAATAATAAGTAAATAAGATGATTTAATGATTTTTTTTATTTATATTTTGCCAAGATAAAATTATTTTTTTATTGTTTATATTTTTATATTATTTATATATATTTTGGAAAATTTTGTATTTATAAAATTTTTTATAACAATTAATGTTTTTAGATAGACAAAAACACTACCCTTAGGGTATCATTTTTAACTCTCTTGGGGTAATCGAACAATTCTAGGGGTTGGCACTATAGAATTTTAAAAGTTCATAATTAATGGCCACTCTAACTGACACTAAATAGTATCTACCAAATCTTACTATAG